CAACAAACTACTGAGAAGATTAAGATGTTTTAAGAAAAGATTTAGGCATCGCAGAGCAAGCAGAAGATTTATCATGATAAGCGCAGAAAAATCCTTGAATTTCAGGATAAATGCCATGTATCCTTGAATTTCAAAATAATCCTTGGAGTTGGTCGGGTATTGAAGTCTCAAAAGCTTACTCCTTGTTTTATTGGTCCTTACCAAATTCTTAATAGAGTCGGAAAAGTTGTATATCAAGTTGCACTACCACTGTCGCTTTAAACCTTCATAGTATCTTCCATTTCTCAACTTCGTAAGTATGTCCCATACCCATCTCATATGATTCAGTCAGACATCTGCAAACAAGAGATAATCTGACTTATGAGACATTGCCTTTGTAGATTGAGGATCGAGACGTAAAGCAATTAAGGGGTAAGAGAATTTCTATGGTGAATTTGCATGGGGAGGATCCGTAGATGGTAGCTTGACATGGGAGCTAGTTCAGATGAAAAAATCTTATTCAGAGTTGCTTTTCTCAGGTAAAGTTTTTAGGATGAAAACTTTGCAAGTGAGGGGAAGTTATAACACCCCAAAATTTTATTAGAATTTTAATATAATTTTATTTAGATTTTTAGTGTGTTTTGTGATTTATTGTATTATTGTTTAGAGTCTTAATTAAAATAAAATAAGAATTTTGTAATATAAAATAGGTTAATGTTAACTTGTTTCCTAAGGGCACAAGTTAAAAAACTCACTTACATGAAAATTTGTATTGAAAAGTAATTTTAAAAAAATTATATATCTTTATTAAAGTTAATGCATAATTTCCAAGATAACATTTCTTTATTTTGTTCTTAATTTGTGCCTCTATCACACAAGTTAGCATTACCCTATAAAATATAATAATAATAATAATAATAATAATAATAATAATAATAATAATAATAATAATAATAATAATAATAATAATAATAAAAAATAGGAAAGGTGATGATTATTTATAAATTATGAGCTAAATAATGGAATTTATTAAAATAAAATAAATCAATGAGAATTTGTAAAATAAAAATAAAAACCTATTTTTTTTATTTAAGGGTTAAGAAAGTTTCGAGAGCATGTCAGTAGAGCAAAAAGAAAAAAGTTGAAGCAAATTCTAGAAAAGAAAATTTTTAAGGCTAAAGATTTCCACTACCAGGAGCTTGTAGGTTTCAGCTTAATCAAGGTAGGAGATTATTTAATGATGACTGTTTAAGCTTAGGGATATTGACGATGTTTTTTGCTCCCTTTCCTCTGTTATGATGTTTTGATTGAATTATGTGAAGTTTGTGGAAAACCTCCACGATTATGTTAATGATATATTTTGATTATGTATTGTTGATATTAACTTTGTTGTTATTCATGTGAAATTCGTGTAAATCTGTGTTGAGAATTGAATTGTTGATGTTCATAAGCTATATAATGAATTGATGAAGAAAATGTGAATATTCGATGTGATATATGTTAAATTATTATTCTTTGATATGAAATATGTTGTTTATATGTGTAAATGCAATTCTAAATTTTATGTGACATGAGTGAGAGAAAAATATGAGGCTTTAATCTGTTTCTATGCATGGAGAAAACGCAGAAAACGAGTTTCTGGAACGGTGACGGGTGTCACCTGCATGACAGGCCAACCGTCACTGGATCGAGGACGAAGACGCCAAACCATCGGCGATGACGGACGTCACACACATGACGGTCCAACTATAAGTGCCTCATGACCAGCACAAATTCTCCAAACCATCAACGATGACGGGTAGCACACCTAGAAGGCGGCGAACATCAAGATTGTGACACACCACCTACCAACCCTGTTGTTGGCCAATTTTAATGTTTTGACCGACTTTTCGCAGAGGTTGCAATTCCTCGACTTAATTCATGTTGCTAAGTGTTTATTTATTAAGAAAATGGTTATGATTGATTATTGTTGACTGTGTTTAAAGTGATGGTTTTAGGTTCAAGGCATACTAATGTTTAGGCCTAATATGCAGTAATTGATGTGCACTATGTTTAGGTTTGAAGAACTAGTGTATGATATGTTTTATGTTCGAAATGACCAATCTTATCCTTAAACGACATTGTTGCTAATTAGAGTAGGAGCTTCAGATGGAGATTAATTTCATTTGTTTAATCATGTATGTATTTAGGAGATTAGCTTAGGACTTCGGTCCAATATGAAGGGTCACTCGGTAAAATAACTCTAATATTCAGGACTTCGGTTCAGTGTTTAAGACTTAGGTTCACGGTTAGTATTCGTACCACACGCACCGGTTTAAAGGAAATATGTGTTTTATAATGACTTTGTATATTGTACATCTGTGTTAACTGAATAAGCTAACTATGAACTACCCTTGCTATTTATACAATGTTAAATTTATGGAATGTATTCTCACCCATTTCTCGTATCTATGTTTTCACCTTTGTACTTTTATACAAATAACTTTCAGGTTGATACTAAGGAGTGATAGTTGTTGTTTACAGAGGATGACATAGTTGGCATCTTTAATAGTTTTATTTCTACATCGTGTTCGTCGTATGTTTTGTCAACTTTGTTAGTATTTATTCAATATCGCTGTGATATTGTAACATTTAAATGAGATATTTTTAAATTATTTTAAATTAAATATTTATGCTATATTTAAATAAAATTTCATTTTAGAACATTTAAATGAGATATTTTTAAATTATTTTAAATTAAATATTTATGCTATATTTAAATAAAATTCCATTTTAGAGTAATAAGTTGGATGTTTTGTCAATGTGGCACTTTACTAATTCAACAGAAAAAATATTGTAGTGCCTTAGAGCATCTTTAATGAGAGCAACTAAATTGGATGAACTAAGTTATTTTACGTGGATCTAAATTGACCGGAAAGATTTAAGCAATCCAAAATTGAATTAAGAAGTTTTTACTTCAATGGTGATTGTTTATAAGGAATTCAAAATTGGTATTAAATGATTAATAAAAATCTATTATTTATGTTAAATAATGAGTTAGAGTACATTGTTTGTGTAGAGCTATACAAAATTTTGGTTTAACAACTATGCGTTAAAGTTGCTCTTATACTTAGTAAATCATCGATCAAAATCTAGAAAATTAATTTACTACAAACGAAAAAAAAACTAGTTTCAAAATTTTATTGCAAATTTCTACAGTTTCAATATTTTAGTAGTAGAGTAAAAAATATTTGTGCTTTAGGAATGTAGTAAAATCCATCAACTCAATAATGTGTTTAGTTTCTTGCCTTTTAATTTTTACTATGTACATCACTTCCCTTTATTCAAATAGCACCACAAAACAGATTGTCAAGTTGTGTTATCCGTGTTGTTAGAATTTACAGCCAAATAACATTGAAGCCAAGATGAAAAAAATTATTTGCCAGGAGATGAAGCTATACATCCAAAAAATGAAATTATGAGAAAGGGCTAATAATTAAGGCCTTTTAAAAGCTTTCTGAATTCTGATTTACAAATTAGTTTTTCACTATAAAGAGAACTTAATTAAAACGTAGCTACTGCTATAGATTCAATAAAGTAAAGTCTCCAAGATCATCAAATAATCAGCTTACTTTTTTAATCTTGTCTTGGGAGTCTCCTTCAAAGTCAAACAAAACAATGTGGATAAATGAATCTCACATATACTCCCTTTATAACAAAATATAAGTAAAAAGGATTCAAAAAGTTAAATATTAGGTATAAATTTTTGTCCAAATACAAATAACTTTTTGAATCATTTTGCTTATATTTTATTGCATAGGAAAGTTTGTTTTACCCCCCTCTTCTTTTTCTCGCTATCCATTTGTATCCGACAGGTAAGAACTGCAACCAGTTTAAGAAAGGTGTTAAGAAGGGCTTAATACATGGAATATCATCAACGACATGTAAATTAAAATTGAATCAAAAGATTTGAATAGATGAAGTCTAGCTAGAACAGCAAATATATAAATATAGCCAAAGTCGCATTGATTAACCATTGCATGTAACGTAAAGTATACCACACGTTCTCTAATAAGTGATTTAGGGACTACTATATTTTCTATCGGACAATTCAAAGCCATTTTCAAAGAGACAGCATGAACTTATTTATAAGTATAATATTCATGGAAAATCAGGAAAATATTAATAGTAGAGGCTAACTCCAAGCATAGGATGTATCTTGTATTTTATACCAAAATTTTTTTTGGCTGGCACGTCGGTTTCCAGAAATTCCCTTTCAAACTATACAAAGGTTTTAATCTCTTTCATTAGGTAAACACGAGCCATCACGTTGAGGGTATATTATTTATACAAAATAAGTAGAATAGATAATGGGTTTACAAAAGCCAATGTCTTGAATTGATAGATTGCCAAATTCCAGTAATACCTACAGGTACCTTACTTGACTTCAGAGCATAATATCCGATATTTTAAACATATTCTCCCTAAAAAAAGTAAACTTTGTTCTGTTACTACTACCTTGCATGACATTTTAACTTGACAGACAAATCAATAGAATATGCCGTGCTGGCAAATCCAAAGTAGGCCATATTTACTGTATATTAAGTGCTCATAATTGAGGAACCAGACTAGACGTTTCTGATTGTGAAAAGACCATTCCCCTAACCGACCCTTTTGCCTATACTACCCCACAATGTCTGATATATTAGCTTTCTCCCTGCCACTAAAACTAGATTGCCCTTGTTATGAAAAAGCTTTCTAATAATTACAATGACATACAAAAAGCATTGATAGAAATCATTCATAATCACAGATTACCAAGTATAAGGAAACCCACGTGAACAGTCCTACATAAAGAGTCATCATGAATTAACCCAATAGAGAAAAAAAACAAAATATAAAAAATGGAAAATCATTACAGTAGTAACAAACAATATGAATATTGAAATGGCCCATGGAAGTAAAAAACAAAAAACAAACATACCTAGGCTGAAAACTGTATGACGAAAAACAGGAAGTGTCAAGAGCTGCAAAATTTGAAATCAACACGAAGGACCAAGTCCAACACTCCTACACTCCTCGCTTTCCGTCTGTTGTTGGTGATGTGCTAAAGGTGAATGTTGAGATTGTGGCAGTGCTTGCTTCTGCTGAGGAGGGAGCAAAAGCTGTGCTTGAAGTGGAATATGATGATTATGATGATGATGCGGATGAGACTCTTGTTGTGTTTGCTGCATGTGGTGATAAGTATTGTCAAAAGATCCCAAGGCCAAAGAAGGAGACAATTGGTCAGCAACAACACCAACAGCAGCAGCAGAAACTGGAGATACTTGGTTGAACCCACCGGGAGAATTAGAAACCGAATCCACATCAAACCCACCACTGAATCTCAAAAACTCCTGTTGTTGTTGTTGATTTTCAAAAGTCCTAAAAATCTCTTGTTGCTCTCTAGCAGCAACAGCGGCAGCCAACTGTTGAGCTTCCAAGATCTGATGTTGAGGTGTCATAGGTTGTGGATCACGAATCACCATCTGATTAGCCGCTGTCACCGCCGGAATGTTGCCATTATATGGGTAAAGAGAATTCGAAAACGGGTTGCTTTGGATACTATGGGGTTGAAGAATACTCGTAGGAATTCCCTGAAGAGCTTGGGGACCAATATAAGTTGCAAGTTCCTTTTTAGCATTATTGAGTTCACCTTGAATCGCTCTTAACTTATGTTGAAGAAGAGAGATAAGACCAACGCAGCCATAAACAGGGTCTCTAAGCCGCGCCTCGGCTTCGTAAGCCAGTGACTTAACGGCGTCCTCACGCTGACTCTGCGTAAGCTCGTTAAGCAGCTTCGCCACGTTGCTCGCACCGAAAACTTTGTGTACGTATGCGAATCTTTGAGGGTTATCCGGTGGAAAATACGGTGCAAACACGCACTCTGTCGTGCATTTTCGCCGGAGAAACTTACACGCCGCACACGGCGAAGTTGTTGATGAAGCCATATTTTCCGATCTCGGTTTTTTCTCTCTTCCACTTTCTCTCTCACTCACCAACGCAACTTCTGCAGTTAATAAATCATGAAATTGATACTATTATATTTTATATTATATTAAACATTTCAAATCCCTAATAAAAAATTTGTATTAATATTTTACAGCTTTGCTTTCTTCGAAAACGAGTGATCTATCTAATTCTAATCTAAAATAGTATCTAGCTTTCACAACTCTGCAGTACCAGAAGTTCAAATTCAATTTTCTACAAACAAATAAGAGAGAGTGTCAAATAGAGATAACAATAATAACAATAATTAATTGGTAGTAATAGCTGTAAATAAACTAATAATAAAAGGCATGGAAATTGAGGAATGAATGAATTATAGAAATAGAAGATTGATTCAACGAAGCTTCACGTACGTACAGATTCGTGATCGTGAACGTGAGATTAAATTAAAATTTTCAAGTACGAAATTATTAAACTAATCTAGGTCATTAAAAGCATGATCTCTTTAATCCTCTTTTGACATTAAAAAAAACGAGTCAACAAACTCTGATTGCAACATTTCAAATCACGCAACGACAAAAGATTTGTCAAAAGAAAGCAAAAAAAACGGCTCCAGATGTGAAAACTGAGAGGAAAAAATATGAAATCAGCTTGAATAATGGAAAAATATAGAAAGTTGCACCGGTAGATCTGAATATGTCGTTGTTTGCGTGCTTGTGAAGTTTGAAAACACGGAAAACAAATCGTAGGGTTACGGCGGAGAAAGAGAGTTGTTAGATCCATCAGTGACTCAAAACCAACATATTAGTTTGATTTTAGAAAAACTAACTGATCGATCGATAAATATCTAGAGAGAGAAAGAGAGAGGGAGAGAGAAGAAGGGAGAGAGAGAGAAGAAGGGAGAGAGAAGAAGACAGAGAGCTTACAGTGAGGTGTGAAAGATTCGGCATGAGAAAGAATTTCCACAGCATGAGATGTGTTGAGAATGAGAGCGAAAAATGCAAAAGAAAGAGGAGAAGAAGATGGTGTGTTATATAGAGAGAGAAGCCATGTTTTTTTTTTAGTTTCTTGAGTACTACTGCCACAAGAACAAGCAAAAACACCTTTCAGGACCAGCAAGCCCTTAATTTTTTTTTCTCACGATAAATCTAACTTTATAAATTTAATCCACATTATTGTAATTATTTTACCTTCCTTAATTATCATTGTTATTAATACTTGGACATCATCGTCATTTCTGAACTGCCTTCTCTTTTATAGTAATCTTTTAAAATTATTATTTACTACATATTTTGCAACTTAGACTTGTTTTCTATTTTTCAAAATAATTGTGGTTTTAGAAGAAAAAAAAAGAAAGATTTACAATAAGTGTCCTCAATTTTTAATGTTATAATAATTGTTATTTCTTCATATAACATATTGATAGGATTTAATAATATATTATATTAAAATTTGGCCTATCACAATTTTATAAAATCGGTTGATAAGATAAGGAGTGTCGTTTTATATAAATTATTTCAATATTCTATTTTCAACCAATGTAAAATTTTAAAATATTTATAACATATACAAAGATTAATTCTTATGCATTGTTCGTGTAAAAGAATTTACACTTTTAATGCATCACAATCATTCGTTAAAATTATTTTTTAAGTGATTAAAATAAAATTCAAACATTTAATATAAATCAGCGGCTGTAATTATATGATAATGTAAAAAATTTTACTCCCATTACATATCGTAAACTCTTATATAAATTTGAAACTTCAATGCATTTGACATTACTAAAAAAAATTCTATTAACTATAGTTGATTACAAGTGAATGCACCTGAGTATTAAAATTACTTGTAATCAACTATAGTTAATAGAATTTTTTTTAGTAATGTCAAATGCATTGAAGTTTCAAATTTATATAAGAGTTTACGATATGTAATGGGAGTAAAATTTTTTTATAATTTTATATAATTAAAAGATAAATTTATATAATTAAAAGGAGATATAATAAGAGTTAATATAACAAAAATATAACTATAATGAATGCACCTGAGTATTAAAATTAGAAGTTTGAAATCCCAACACACTAGAAGACATGTGCATTCATTATAATATTGTTATATTTTTTATAATTTTTATAAGATTGAATTATATATATATATATATATATATATATATATATATATATATATATATATATATATATATATATATATATATATATATATATATATATATATATATATATATATATATATATATATATATATATATATATATATATATATATATATATATATATATATATATATTACTTTGGAAGATTAATTTACTTATATGCAGTGTGTATGGGTATCATTTATTCGTTCTTTAACAATTTAATATTTTTGTTCTTTTTTAAACTTTATTCGATAAAAGGTTAATGTTATGGCACAAGTTAAGAAACTCTCTTATAGTAAAGTTGTATTGGAAAAAACAATTTAAAAATTAATTTTATAATTTAATTAAATTTTATACACAATTTCTAAGATAATATTTCTTAATTTAGTTCTTAACTTATAAATCACCTTATAAAAAAATTATTTGTCACAAATTATAAGTCACTTTAGAATTATTATACATTAATAATTTTTTTAATATACTCTTTATTATTTATTTATCTTTTTTCATTCTATTCCTTTAGTCCGCTATCCAATATGATTAATAAAGAGCAATTTTATAAAACCATTATCGCATTTCACTTTTTAATAAAATAATAAGGATAATGCTAACATGTGTCCTTGAGGCATAATAGTTAAGAAACTCACTTATAATAAATTTGTATTAAAAAAATAATTTAAAAATTAATCTTATATTTTGATTAAAGTTTGTACACAATTTTCAAGACAATATTTCTTAATTGAATTCTTAACTTGTGCGTTTGGGGCACAAGTTAGCATTACCCAAATAATAATTGCATTTCTTAATTTGTATGATCAAAACGTCTTATAAATTGAAACGAACGAAGTAATTGATAAATTAATTTGATTGTTTGATAAATTAGCTGTTAAAGTAATTGATAAATATAAAATAATATTCTTAATTAAAAATAGAGATTTTATTATTTCATTATATTATATTAGTAAATTATTTTTTATTTGATAAAATTAAATGTATTAATATATATATATGAAAAACTGAAGTTAACATCAACATATATTAAATTTATATAAAAATTTATAATAAAATTTTACAAGATACATCAAATAATAGCATTGTAATTTTGAATTTAGTTATATTAATCTAAAATAATAAAAATAGAATTAATTTTATTTTATAATATTATACAATAAAATTACAAAGATATTTTGAATTTTTTTTGTATTGGTGGATCTCGGTGATTTTCCTATGATATTTTACTAATTTGAGAATTATGAATATTATTTTGAAATTCATTACGTAAATTAAATGTTGCTCAAAAATATTAAACATTGCATCATCTTTTATCTTGTGAGTTGACACGAATATAATTATCTGATTTAAAAATAAATTATCTGATATAAAGTTAATAGTTTGAAGAGTAAAAATAAATTTTTTGTTAAAATAATTAAGATATAAATAAAAGAAAAAATAATAAGTTAAAAACTACAAATTCAAAAGTTACATTAAACCCCTTTTGAAATTTTTTTAGTAAAAACTAGTAGCAAAAGCTATAAGTTAAAATTAACAGTTATCGAACAAAACTTTTTGATTAATATAAGCTAAGGTAAAAACTAAAAACTAATTTTTTTTTAGTGTTATCAAACATACTCTTAAAATAATTCTTTAAAAGTTGTTGCACACATATTAAAAAAAATAATGATTGAATATATAATAATAATTGAATAATTAAATGTAATAATTTTTTAAAATATTTTTTAATTACTACTAATTGTTATAAATTTATATTATTAATTAACATCTTGAAAGTAATGTGAACAACATTTATTAGTGATAAATTAATAAAAATTAATTAATGTTAGGTTTGAAAAATACTCTTATTAAAAACAAATTTTTTTAATTAAGAAAATATTTATCTAAATAATAGAGTAAAACTTTTATGTGATGCGGAGGCGTGTGCCTATTTAGAATTCAGGTAGAGGTAAGAAAGTGACTTATATTTTTGTTTCGAAAAGGTATTTATTAGAGTTGTCAAATTGATTACTTCATGTCGATCGCTTTAGTCAGTCATAAAAATTATAATATTTAGATCTTAAAATTAGAGTTAATATATTGGATAGAGATTTTTCAACTCGGCTTTAATAAGCCGTGCGATCCATTAGGATTATTTTGTATGAGTTTCTCATTAGATTCACTTAGCTATAAATTCAAAAATTATATATTAATATGTTTGTTGTTTCACTCTAAAATAATACATTAAATTTTTTTATCTCACTAATTTTAATTTCAATTTTATTTAATATTTTTATTTTAATTTTATACATTAATATATTCAAATTAATATTTAATTAATTTGGATTTTACTTTATAATTTTTTTTTATTTTCCATCAGTTTCTATTATATTAAATATTTGAGTATTATTTTATACAATATTATATTATAGTATTTATAAAAAATAATATAGTGTTACCTTCGTTTTTTATTATAAGTCATTTTGGATTTTTCATATGTATTAAGAAAAATAATAATTTTTGTATAAAAATAAGAAATTATGAATATTTTTATAAAATTGTTCTTCACTAATAATATCGAAAAGATAAATTTATATAATTAAAAGGAGATATAATAATAAAATTTTAAGGATATTAATAGGAAAAATAACATTAATTATTTATTAATAATGTAAAATAATAATTTTTTTTTCTTCATAATAATATTAAATATTTCCAGTCTTTCCATTTTTCATCAGCATGAATTTTCATCAGGCAATTATAATTAATTAATAGTGTTAGCTACTAGTAAAAAAACTGAATAACTAATACGTAAAATATTATATGATTCTTAGATATATAGCACTTAATACGTAA